GCAAGGTTATGATAAATGTTGCACAGTCAGGTCACCTTTGTATACTTTATGTAAATTTTAAGACCGGGCTTTTAAAAAGAGGGCGAATGTGGGGTTTTTCTTGGGCTCCCCATCAGCGCTCTTGCCCTGGGCAAGCTGAAACGGGAAGAACCAGCAGCTGAGGAATGCGGAGGCCCAACCCATGGGCCCCAGGGCAGGGGATGAGGGTTTGGCCCGCCCTCCCTTCCTGCAGGTGTGGGGCTTCAATGCGCCCCTGGGGCCACAAATGGGGGCTGGGCATGGCTTGCCCTTCCACTTCCTTCTTAATGCATTGTGGAAGGTATGGGCCAACTTCAGCCTTAGTGACTGTTAGGAATAGGGGGAGATTTAAATCCAAAATACCTGAAGGAGGGCCAAAGTTGGCCCATGCCTGCATTGGGGGTCTTATCCTTTGGAGGAAGCTTTGGATTGTATTGGAGCCCCCAGTGGCGCAGTGGGTTAAACCACCGAGCTGCTGAACTTGCTGACCGAAAGGTCGCAGGTTTGATTCCGGGGAGCTGTATGAGCTCTGCTGTTAGTCCCAGCTCCTGCCCACCTAGCAGTTCAAAAACATGCAAATGTGAGTAGATCAATAGATACCACTCCGGTATCCATCCCAGAGAACATGCCAGTGGCCAAATGACCTTGGAAGTGTCTATGGACAACGCTGGCTCTTCGGCTAAGAGTACCACAGTCCTAGAGTTGGACACAACTGGACTTAAGGTCAGGGGAAAACCTTTACCTTGGATTGTATAGGAAAGGGCCAACTCTGTGAACTCCTTCCCTGACTCTGGAGACGCTGAGTAAGATTGGCAGTCTGAACATGGGACTTGTGTTCACTCAGAATTCCAGGGAAGATTGCACTCAAAAGCATCCCAGCTGATCACCTCCCAACAATGGATTCCCCCAGGCCCCTTCCAACTCTAGGGTTTTATTTATTTACTGGCCGTCCTCTGCCACACATTGCTGTGGCCCAGTCTGTGTATAAGCTTTGTGTGCGTGTTTATGTGTGTGTATATATTTGTGTATATGTGTATTTGCAGAGATATAGATGTATAGATAGATTGATGGGTGTATATGTGTGTGTATAAGTGTGTATATATTTGTGTATGTATATCTATATGTAAATATGTATGTGCATGTTTATATGTATGTGTATATTTGTGTGTGCTTGTATATATATATATATATATATGTGTGTGTTTGTCTGTATGTAAGTGTGCATGTGTATATGTATATGAGTGTATGTGTATAGTTTATTTTGGGGGGGTTTAAGTCCATTCTGCTGGGCTTTTTGGGGTGATGGTCACTCGTTGGCCTGAGAGGTGTATTGTGTCCAAATTTGGTGTCAATTCATCCAGTGGTTTTTGAGTTCTGTTAATCCCACAAACGAACATTACTTTTGTATTTATATAGATTTATTTACAACATTTATATGCTGCCCTTCTCATCCCAAAGAGGATTCAGAGAGGCTTATTTTATATATATATATATATATATACACACACACACACACACACACATATACACATACATACACACACACACACACACACACACACATACACACACAATATATTAGCATAGTACAATATCACTATTATATATTACTATATTGTACTATACCATTATATTGGAATATTATTAGTAATATTACTTGTAATATAAAATATGATAACCACCTTCCTCTCTCTGTCTCTCTGCAGCCACCCGGCCTACAGCAGCGTGCCGTCCGCTCCAGCGTTTGCTCCGAACATGAAAGAGCCCAGCACCCAGCTTGAGGCCCCCTCTTCCTACCCGCTGAGCAACTTCCACGAGATGATGGTGGCCTATGGGCTGCAGGGCTATGAATTTGGGGAGGGGTCTGCCCCCTACGGCCTGTCCCCGGCCCCCTACCAGCCCTTGAGCTTGGGCGGCCCCCTTTCCTTGACCCAGCTTTGACCCATGAGAGACTGAGGCTTCTAGGAGACGCTGAGCGTCGCTAGGTTAGTCCTGTTTGTAGGTGCATCGGCTGCATTTGTAGGGTGGGGTTGGGGGTGAGGGCACGGCAACTGCATTATTATTTTTGCAAAGTGAAGGAAATCTGTTTAGGGGTGAGAAAAATAGGAAAGTCCTGCTGGCAGGTCCCCTTGGAGTGCTGAATAACCTGGAGTGGGGTTCCATCCCCAAGTGCCTTCTTTACATACCATTCCATGATTGTGGGGCAAAAATATGTCTAA